AAATTCCTAAAAGACATCTTCATAAGGTATGGCTTTCCTCAGATGATAGGGTCAGACAACGGACCTGCATTTGTGTCCAAAGTAAGCCAGAATTTAGCCACGGCCCTGGGGATTAATTAGAAATTACATTGTGCATACAGACCCCAGAGTTCAGGACAGATGAAAAAAATAAATAGAACTCTAAAAGAGACCTTAATTAAATTGACCTTGGAGACTGGCGGAGACTGGGTAGCTCTCCTCCCCTTTGCACTCTATAGAGTGTGCAACTCCCCCTACCAGATGGGGCTAACTCCCTTTGAAAACATGTCTGGCCTGAATTGCATGCTCTCTATCCAAATAGAATGCATGATTATTAAACATAGGTTTGAGTTTTCAGCTTCCTATTGCAGAAAAAAGTAAGACTATTTAGACCTTTTTTAAAAAATGATTTAACAATTCTAATGTAAACACCTCTCAATTGGTTACTAAGTCCTCAATTGGAGACTAAGGTTTCCTAAGTTAAAATTCTGCTAAGTGGGGGCGCCTGGGTGGCTTAGTCGGTTAAGCGTCCGACTTTCGCTTGGGTCATGATCTCGCGGTTCGTGGGTTCGAGCCCCGCGTCGGGCTCTGTGCTGACTGCCAGCTCAGAGCCTGGAGCCTATTTCAGAGTCTGTATCTCCCTCTCTCTCTGACCCTCCTCTGCTCACGCTGTCTCTCTCTCTCCTAGAAATAAATAAAAATATTTAAAAAAAATAAAAAAAATAAAATTCTTCTAAGTGTACTTAAAACTAATGGAAAATAAGGAAAACAATCTTGTATGTAGGAAACTTAAAGATACATAAAAAAGATATAAGAAATGGAAATACAGTTTTGTTGAGAGTAAAAAAAGTAATTTTGTCCTGAATAAGACTGGCTGTTTAGAAAAATGGTTTTGAGACAAAATTTAAAAACAAAAAATGTAAAAGGTCCGTAAAGAAAAATCTTTGAAAAGATATTCTATATGTGCTCAGGATAAACTAAGGTTAAAATAAATGAAATTTAAAAAGTACACTGGTATAAAGTTAAAACTCTGCTTTTCTGTCTAGTCAAAACACAAAGTTTTCTTGGATTATAAATCTACTCCTGATAAGACAATGTAAACAAAGGTTTTCTCCTTTTGCTGCCAAGAAAACCAAAGCTTTAGGTTTCATCTTTATCAGGTCTTTAATTGCATAGTTAAAACTTCTCAATGTTAAAGGAGCTGGAGCTAGGTTTTTCTACATTCGCCTTTAAGATCTTTTACTGCCACTTTGGTTAAAAAAAAAAGGGTCTTTTGGCCAATTAGGCCCTTTTATTTGAGATGCTAAGTTACTTGGAAAAACACTATGTACAACAGTAAACCTTAGGTTGTATTGCATGAGTAAATGCTATAATTCCCCAAATATATATGTAAATCCTAAAATTTTAATGTTTTGTTATAAAGTTATTATATGTCACAAAAATAACTGAATTTCTTTGTCAACTGCATCATACTGAACACTCATCAAATCTTTAACAATGTCCATCTGAAATTTTGCAATTTAAATAGATTGTTTGCCTTCATGCAAGAACGTCTGGGGGCAATACAACCCATAATACTTAGGTCGCAATATCGCCACCCTAATGATTGGAACCTGACCGAAGACCCATGATTGGGCCTTCAAATACACAAGAGAAGGGGGGAATGAAGAGCCAAAAATTAAGTCCTCCATTAAGAGAAACCTCGGGCTGCACGTGGCCCCAATCCCAGTTCCAGGAAAAGCCTCAGACTGTTCAAGGCTAAAGCCATCCTCGGACCGCCCTCAGTTCAGCTTATCAAAAAACATTCCTATGGTCTGAGTCAAGGCTGGGAACTGCAGATACGAACTAGCCAATTTCTCACCGCTTTCCTGAACCCCACGTGGGCCCTTTGAACTCACCTCATAATTGGTTATTTTCAAAGCATTCTCAAAAGTCATGATTGGGTCCCACCAAAAGTAATAAACACCTCACAGATACTGAATGGTCAAAGCTGTTACCAGGGGTGCTGCTGTACAATTGTAATTGGTGCTTATGTGATGTAACTACATGTACTGTAACTTGTACTTCTTACTCCATAAAAACCCAACTCGCTATTGTTCTTTGCTTCATCTTGCTGCCATGACACCGGTAGGCAGATGAGCCCCTGCGCGAGCTTGTAATAAAGACCCTTTTGTATTTGCATTGGTGTCGGCTCCTTGGAGGTCTCTGGGAACTCGCAAACCGGGCACAACACAATATGCTCACTTCATTGAGTATATGACAGAAGGCAGACCCTCCTTTAAACCTGTGGGGTCGGCATCATCTGAGTTGCCCCTTATGTCCTGGTGATGAAGTTTTAGGGCTGATGGAGTTGGGTCCGCAGCCGACAGTCAGGAAAGAATTCTTGAAGATGTCTTTGGTGCAAAAAGGTGATTTTATTAAAGCGTGGGGATAGGACCCGCGGGCAGAAAGAGCTGCACTGGGTTGTGAAGTGTGGTTCCTTATATACTAGGGGCTGGGGGAGGTAAAGTCAAAAGGGAAGTTTCCAAAGAGATTTTCATATGCTAAAGACTCACAGATTACTGGTGGCCTAGCCATTGTCAAGCTAAGATTGTTTTCCCCTCTAGCAAAGCATTTATTTAAGACATTAGGGAGAAATGTTATACTCTGTATTTGCATCAAGTATTTGCCAGAGGGCTGCAGGTTAGAGGGATAAATTTTACGTGTCATCTTCTTGCCTTGTTCCCAATATCGCTAAGGAGGGGAAGGTGATGTTGGGGCTCCAGGAAACTGAGTCTACAGGGTTCTGGAGATTAGGATACTGATAAGATTGCCTTTTTCTTGTAATTTACTAAGATATTTGCAAACTGGGGACCCATGTCCTGTATACCTGTGATCTGTATCAGTTTAGCTATTTGTTTTCTTTCCTTTCCTTTGTTCTTGGGAAGACAGGAGTGCCTGAGGAATATCACACATCTCCCCCCCCCCCCGCCGTGTGTGTGTGTGGGGGGGTGTGGGTGGGGGTGGGTGTGGGTGTGTATGTGTGTGTTCTAGCTTGTACTTTGCCCTCAGCCTGCCTTGCGCTCTCTCATCACGGGCACTGAGGACCTCACATTGCTATCTAGCAGGCCTAACCTTTCCTTCTTGTCATCCATAATCCTCGTAAGTATGTGCTTTAAAATGACTTCAGTGTCCGGATGCTTTGAAATGATTTCTTTTCTCACCGCGCCATTGCATATGGGTCCTCCTCTCACCTAACATGAGTGACTGCGGCTAGGCCCTGCAGGACAGACAGCGATGTGACTGACACGTGAAACTAAACGAATTCATACTAGGGTGTGAGCCAAAGATCAAAATGTTTCCCACCCTAACCTCTCCCTTAGGTCCCACGCAAGGAATTTGTAACTTTCCCGAAGACACCCGGCTGTTTAAATAAGCTAATGAATGAATACCTGAAATCCTGAAAGGTGACTAGGTAATTAGTGGAAGATGAGGCACATTAGAGGTGATGAGTTGGAAAATTCTGGGCAGTGGGTGGGGTGGGAAGTCTTCCTGAGGCTCTCAAATCACACTGCCTGCCCTGGGGCTTCTCAGGGTCAATCTCAACCTGTGGCAAGGGTCCAGCACAGAACATCTGCTAACGTTAAACACATTGATTATAGGGTGGGCTCTACAGGGGTGATAGATTAAAGGGGAAAAGACCCCCCAAAATGCAGGCCTCTTCTATGTTGGGTGTCTGAAGCGCTCAGAATACTTTATAATTATGATCCTATTGGGTATTTAGAACAATTAAATTCCTTTGATAATTAAAATCAGTAATTAGCAGGCATTAAAGTTATCCACTCTACATGCACTGCATTGGTTTTTAATCTGCGGAAGGGGCTGTTGTCTGCTAATCAGTGTTTCGTTATTTTTCTATCTCTAATCTGGTTATAACTGTCATTTTCATTCTTCGTAGATGGGGTACAGCCGGCTTCTCTCCCTTTTCTCTCCCTCTCTGAGGTGTGAGTCGTGTTTATTTTTGCCTTAGAGCCGACGGATCGTTTCTGAGATTTAAGTTTTCTCTACTTTCGTAACATTTCCATTGAGACTTACTCTTGTGTTCATGGACCGGCTGAAAGACACGTTTGTTTGCGTTTTGAGGTTCCAAAAGTGGACTTAGAGCTCTTCTTGGCTGCTGTCCGTAGGGCTGGACATTGTCACTAGCGGAGGCCAGCGTGCCCCAGAGGGAATAAGCGACTGGGTCAGGTGTGGGTGTCCCAACCCTCCAGGCAGCGAGCTGCTTCAGAGGCGATCCGGATGCAGGCCTCGGGGAGGGGCAGGGGTCGGGTGGCTAAAGTCCCGCCTCCCCACCTTATGTGGCCCCGACTGTGGGTCTGGCCCTAGCCTGTGTGGACCGAGACCACGGTGGCGGGGGGCGGGGAGGAAATCTCCCGCACCGCCTGACCTTCTCCCCGCCTTCCTGCCCGCCACGAGCAGGAGTTTTGTCTCCCCTCAGGAGGCGTCCGTCGGGTTGCGTCTGACGCTGGGGGCTCCCTCGGTCATTACAAGCAGCTTTGGCGGCTGGTGGGAAAGCCACCTAGCCACCGGAGGCGCCCCCCGAGGACTGTGGGCAAGTGAGGGGGCAGTCCCGGGAGGGGCCCGAGGTGAGCCAGGGCGCCCGGACGGGCGCAGGGGTGGGGGCGGGGGTGGGGCCGGGGCCTGGAGGTGAGCGAGGGCGCGGGGTGGCGCTCTGGGGTGGAGGTGGGGCTGGAGGTAAGGGGGCGGGGCTGGAAGAGAGCCTGGACGCGGGGGCGGGCCCAGGGGTAGGGGGCTTGGGGGCAAATGGGCGGGGCTGGGGTGAGCCGGACCGGGCGGGGGGCGCCGGCGGGTGCAGCGAGCGGGGCTGGGAGGCGGGGCGGAGGCGGGGCGGCGGGGAGGGGAAGTGGGTGGGGCGCCACCGGGAAGGGGGCGGGTCCGAGGAGGCTTAGGGCCCGGGCGGTTACGGCGGCGGGCCAGGCGCGTGGCCGGGGCCGGCGCGATGAGCCGGGCCGGAGCGGCGCCGGGAGTGGCGGACGCGGTGCGGGGGCTACGGGTGGACGGGCTGCCCCCGCTGCCCAAGAGCCTGAGCGGGCTGCTGCACTCGGCGTCGGGCGGCGGCGCGTCGGGGGGCTGGCGACACCTGGAGCGGCTGTACGCGCAGAAGTCGCGCATCCAGGACGAGCTGAGCCGCGGGGGCGCGGGCGGCGGCGGGGCGCGGGCGGCGGGGCTGCCCGCTAAGCCTCCCAACCTGGACGCTGCGCTGGCCCTGCTCCGCAAGGAGATGGTAAGGGGAGCTCCGCGGATCTCGGGTGGGGGGGTGGGTGGCCTTCCCCGTCCGGGCTCGCCGTCCCGGAAAAGTTCGCCGGGACCCGCGCTCTGCTCCGGAAGTCCGCGCGCCCACCCGCCCCTTTCTGGCTCTTTTGCCCCGGGCGCCGAGTGAGGGACCCTGTCCTCTCTGCCCACGGTGCAACCCTCACCCAGGGAGAGTCCCCACTCAAAAGGCAGTTTTCGGAGCCCAGGCGCCCCAGGTCCGGCCCCGCTGGCTCGGAAACGGGAGGCGGGTTGTGGGGTTCGCTCGTGGCCTTGGGCGGGCGCGGCGTGGTCACTCCTCTCCGGAGTGAAACAGACCTCCGGGGTCGGGGAAGGGCTTTCACTGCGGCGGCGGGGTGAAGAGCTGCGCGCGACTGTGTTTTCCTGCCTGGGAGGGGACGGTTTTTGTCCGCTCGAGTGTAGACAGCAGATTGGAACAGCCCTCGCCCCCCTCCTCCGCGCCCCAGGCGGCGCGTGCAGAATCCGATTACTTCGGGATGGCTCCGGCCCCAGATGCTGTGAACGCGAACGCTCAGCCCATCCCCTCTCCGCGTGGTGGAGTCGATCCCCCCCAACCCGCTGGCGAAGAATGGAGGGGGCGCGCTCCCCTTCTGGGTGAAGCCCGTGTGGGTTCTTCGGGTCGTGTCTGGGCGCCAGACAATGGGGGTTAGCTTTTTCTCAGTCCTCGGGAAGTACATTTGGTGATGTGGGCCGGGACACAGGACTTCAGGTGACGCCAGAAGCAGGGCAAGGGCTGGGATTTAGGTGGCAGTGAGCCCTTTCTCCAGCTCTCTCCAACAAGCTTAGGCCAGGCGGGCGGAGAACAAACTTCCCTCCTTCCTAACCTCCCGCTGGGCCCTGATCACCCACCCCTAGCCACCAGCTTTCCTTTTGGAATCTACCCCTTCCTTTTCACTTAGTCCAGGTTCCTTTCCTCTTTTAAGTACAGGTAGAAACTTTATTAAGGAAATCTAATATACGAACGCTGCTTTTTTCCTGAGGCTCAATTTGCCAAAAAACTTATCACAGAGATCCTTTGTGGATGCATCTAGTACGTTAAGGTACTGTTTAGAAACATTCCATTTATGCCTTTCCTTTTTTTTTTTTTTCCTTCAGGAGCATATCCATTCTGAAAAGTAAGACTTAATTAAATCTGTAAAAGCAACCTTGTTTTTTTAATCAATCAGATATTATCTTCCCACTCTGTAGCTGGCACTGAATTGTGGTTTCCAGTTCTCTCTGAATAGATTTTCTAAGCTTCTTACAAAACGACTTAAATCCCAAGACCACCGCTTTTGATTTATTAATAAACATGAATTGACAGCAGCGTTGCCCCGCTAGGGAGTTGCATTTTAATTAGATAAATGTACACCTAGGATGTTTACAGCCTGGATTTAGATGTTGCATAAATATGGGGGTGAAATAGGAATACTCATCCCCGGTTAAGTTTTACGTTGGAACAGACAGGAAAACCTCAGGGCCACTCCTTTTGTCAAGCTCTGGTACATAAACAGACTCTTAGTGGCTTGGGAGTTCATGTGCCATTCCCAGAAGTATTTTTCCAGGTCCCTCCTGGTGCAGCTGGAGAGAACAGCCACAACCTTATAATTATGCCTTGGACCAGAGCTCTATATGAAGCACAGGGAAAATAAACCTCCGTCTTTGGTCAGTCTGATACTTAACTGAGATAAAGAGAAGATAGGGCTACAGGCCTTGACAAGTTCTTTCACAGAGTGTCACAAGGTCTTTAAAAGTATTCTAGGTGTTTGAGCTTTTTTTTCTTTTTAATGTTTATTTTTGAGAGAGAGAGACAGTGCGAGCTCAGAAGGGGCAAAGAGAGAGAGGGAGACCCAGGACCTGAAGCAGGTTCCAGGCTCCGAGCTGTCAGCAGAGTCCGACGTGGGGCTTGAACTCGGGAACCGTGAGATCATGACCTGAGCTGAAGTGGGACATTCAATGGACTGAGCCATCCAGGCACCCCTCCAGGTGTTTGGGCTTTAACAGATTTACTAACCTGGGGCCAGTGGGGTCCAAGTAGTAACTTCAACCGAGTTCATTCCTGAATTATCTGTGGAATAGGTTGTGTTGAGCTATTGAATTGGAGGGGCCGAGGTCAAATCTCGTGTCAAGGGATTACTAGAAGTCCTGGTAGAATGTGATTAATCACTTTTTGAAAAAGTCCTGTGCAGTCACAGATTCATGTGATTAATCCTTTTTTTCTTTTTTAAAGTCCTATGCAAGCAGTGGTGGTGTAGGAAGGCCTTTGATAATAAACAAGGTAATAATGCACTGAATGTACCTTAGAAGAGGGAGTGGGCCCTGGAAAAGGTGGGTTCCGGAGAGCCTCAAATAGCAGGGAAGGGTTCAAGGGGAAGGATGGCACAGAATTAGACTTAGAGGAATTAATTTGATAGCAGGGTGCAGAAAGAACAGGAAGTGGGGGATGCTAGGGTTGTGCTTGGAGAAGGTGAGAGCTTCCAGCAGGGTGCAGGCCAGTGCCTGGGAAACAAGACTCAAATGGGGGTGGGGGTGGTGGGGGTGGGGGGCGGACATTTTTCTGAAGCAGAAAATGCAGGAATTACCAGGTAACTGTTAGAGTCTGGGGGGAGACTTAAGCTTTTTAATGGAAGGTGCAGCTAAGCAAAACAATGAAAAATTCCTCATAGTCCTGGCACCCAGAGATCATCGCTGTTAATAGTTTGGGATAGCTCCCGTGTAGGCACGATGTAGATGCTTTCTGTACATCAGAACTTCTCCGTGAGATGGATACTCAAGTACTTGTCTTTCTTCCTTCCTCCCTCCCTCCCTCCCTCTTCCTTCCTTCTTTCCTTCCTTCCTTCCTTCCTTCCTTCCTTCCTTCCTTCCTTCCTTCCTTCCTTCCTTCCTTCCTTCTTTCCTTCTTTCCTTCCTTCCTTCCTCCCTTCCCCACTTCCTTCCTCCCTCCCTCCCTGGATGGTTGACACACAATGTTACGTTAGTTTCAGGGGTACAACATAGTGACTCAAGTCTGTGTGTTCGGGCGTGCTCACTACAGGTGTGGCTACCATCTGTCACAACACAACACTATTACAGTACCAATGACTATATTCTCTGTGCTGTGCCTTTCATCCCTGTGACTTAGTCCTTCCAGAACTGGAAGCCTGTACCTCCTGCTCCCCTTCACCCGTTTTACCCACCCCACCCCCTCAGCCATCCATCTGCTCTCTGTATTTTGGGGTCTGTTTCTGCTTTTTGTTAGTTTGTGCATGCTTTGCCATTTAGATTCCACATGTGAATGCAACCATATGGTATTTGTCTTTCTGTGTCTGATTTACTTCACTTAGCATAATACTCTCTGAGGTCCATCCTAGTTCATATATTTTAAAATATCACTCAGAATTGAATCCCCCTAAGATCACTGATTCAACCAGATGTGTCCCAACGCCCTGTTTGAACCCTGGCATCGTTCTGCCCATGTCCCCATGCAGTCCCACGAACACAAACACACATGGATCACATTATACATTCTTAGTTGGCTTTATTTGGCCCATATTGCAAAGGCTTTCCCGGTCAACGCATATTAATTATAATGTCTTCATTAGGTGTGGAGTGTACCATTGTTCAGTGGGGCAGTAACCTTGCTAATCCATCATTGGGAAGGTGGGGTTCACCGCAGCAATGGGGGAGTCCAGAGGGGTGGCTCCTTTAGGGGAAAAGGTGGTTTATCGTTACATCAATGGAGGGGTATGTTACACATTTAAAAATGAGGACCTGGAGGCTGGAGAAGAGACTTGGATCTGGTGATCCAAGACAGCGAGGGGTGGCCAGGATGGAATAGGGGCCGGTGGGGGGCTCCCCTGGGGGGAACTGGGTGGGCTAGGCTCGCTGCACCGCCCAGTTTAGCACTTCCTGTTCTAGGAACCCTCCTCTGAGAAGCTCTGTCCCCCTGGGGGGAGGGGGACCCATTTGGGAAGCTGGGAGGGTCACCCCAATAGTACTGTGCTCTATAGCTTACCTGCTCTATAGACCAGAAAAAGTCCTTTAAAACAAAAAACTGAGTTTGTTGGGTTTTTGTTTTGTTTTGTTTTTAAACATCAGAGGATATTTTAAAATTCCGTTCAACAGATGTTTTCTGGGCAGGGGGTGTTAGGTGCAAAGTGCTATGGAGATGCAGGGGTGAGTAGGAAACTCTCTAGCCATTAAGAAGCTTTATACCATCTGGTAGATGTGGGCATCTTTCCGGCAGTAGGAGTGCTGTAGTGTAGATCGCTTCTCAGTTTTCATGCCTGGACTCTGTGGGAGTAACTCGGCCTGAACTAGCTCTTACAAAAGGAGAATCCTGAAGGGCTGGCTGTGCACTGAGGCAGACTGTGCCGACGGGACACCGGGGAAGTCCACCACAATCCCCTCTCTTGCCCGTTGTTTCTTTCTTTCCCCACGTTTCGGACCGGGGCTGCTGACAAGGTCCACACTCCGTTTCGGCCACGCTTCTTAGTTCCAGTTAGTAAATACTGTGTGGAAGGACACCCGTGGGCCTGGCTCCGGTAGTCTGGCCAGCGTGGGCCAGCTAGTAGCGAGTGAGGACAGGGTTGCGTTTTACTATGATAGTATGACCATGTGGATGGGGGGGTAGGGGTGGGAGTGCTGGGGATCCCCCCCAAAGTAAGGCCAGTTAGCAGAAACAGCAGAGGGCTGCTGGACAAACTATTAGATATTTATTCCATACCTCTTTCTATATAAAAATACTTTGCCCTGAAGCCCCCCCCCCCCCCCCCCCAGTTTGCTAAGCTGATAAAGCCACATTTGCTCACTCAGTCTGGGTTGGCTTTTCAAATCCTTGCATGTGGCCGCCGGACGCCCTTGACTCTCAGTGTCAGGTGGGGCCCTTGACACACACTTTCCCTGATGTTTATACACAGACCACCCAGCCAGTGGCTCCGTGTCATTAGCTCAACAAACTTGAACACCCCAGAGTCCCATGAAAGCATGGACAGA